TAACCGTTGGTCAGCTGTATGACTGAACATGCAGCCATAATTCCCGTAGAAATATAACTTTGATTAAATGGATAAGAAATTATCGACACGAGACCTCGGGATCGGGGTATTTATAATTTCGCACCGAATCGCAGAAGGACATTCGTCTACGGATATATAATTACACAGAATGTTTGGTACTGAATAGGAGGGCACTTATACCTATGGCTGTTTTAAACTTGTATCGATTTTCCGAGCTTAATTTATTCTTTTCTTTCAAGGAAACGTGTTATTCGGTTGAATAGCTCAAGCTATGAAAGAATATAGGTAAGTAGGTTTTTCTATTTTCTGTCGCACACACATACTGTGTGAGTGTGTTTCAAAACTCTAATGAACTACAGTACGGTCAATGAATCTTCACACATGCGATTTGTGCATTCGAAATGAGTCGACAAAGTAATGAAATCAAAATGACGTGTACACTGCTCCGGACAACCTAACATTTTGACTAATAATTGCTTCTGATCCACTGAAAAGTAAAGCCATGTAGCCTTGTAGCAATTCAAATATTCCAGTGTAATTTGAGGTTCAAATTTATAATTATGATATGAAATGTACCTACTATGAAATATAAAATGCTCATGGTTTATCAGTTATAGAAATAACAATTAGAGTAGGACAATACTCCTCAACTCGTAAAATCTTCACAATGAACAAATATTAAACTGTCGAACGATATTAATACATTCTTAGCTTTAGTCCATTTCCTTGAGCAGCTGAGAAATAAATCAGTTGAGTCGGTTGATAAATTAATGAATTTCACTAGTTCGGACTCGCATTGTCTAATATATGAAATGATTTGAAATCCCTCCTGTCCAGAAGGGATGATACACAAAGATCGTACGAGACCCTACTACATCGATTGAAAGGAAGTTGTACCAGATTTTGAAAAAACACCAAGTCTATTTTTCGGACAAGAAAAGATCATTACTAACACCGCACCACAGTAAGCCCCCTCACTTGTATGGATTATCCAAAATCCACAAGAAGGACGTTTCTCTTAGACTGATCATCAGCTCCAGAGATTCGACTACTCAAAACTTGTCTAGATTTTCATTTCCCATGAAACAAACATTACAAGGAAAAACATCGTCTTTTGTGGATAATTCCAGGCGTTTTGTCGAACTACTAGGGTCAATTGAAGTCACACAGGAAGAGCAACTAATTAGTTTTGACGTGGAAAGCCTTTACACCAACGTTCCGGTCGAAGAAGCACTCCAAATCATACAGAGAAAGCTATCCGAAGACGGGAACCTGAAAGAGAGAACGAATCTACCTATAGAAGTAATTATGGAATTACTAGGATGCTGTGTACGAAACTGTTATTTCCAACTGAAGGACGAATTCTTTACACAAGATGAGGNAATCACTTTCAAACAAATGATAAATTAATAATGTAGTATTCATTTTTAACATTCAAGTATGTATGATTTGATATAACAAATCTCAGAAGATTATTCATAGTTGTTTGTATACGATAAGTATTGAAAACACTCGCGTGAATAATTCATAAATTTTCTTAATTTAAATCTGTTTAAAAATCTGTTCAAAATCTGTTTTTCCGTTAATCATATGTCACCCCCATACGAACGACAACTCTCAGAAGTTGAGAAACTTGTGCGAGCTGAGGACTAACGAGGTCTTACCTTTTAACGTGTGATTCCTAACACCCAAAATCATGTTTTGTGTAAAAAATGGAATTGAGTAATCAAAAATCCTTGCAATGTTGATAGTGGCATACAGTGATTATACTCTGAGATAGAAAAATGTTTTCAAGTGGCACAAGCTTGTCACAGAAGGTCGAGAAGACGTGAAAGACGGGACTCGCGCTAAACGCTCCAGCACATCAACAATCGATTAAAATATTCAGAAAGTGGAGAAAATTGTCATGGAGAATCGTCGAATCACTATCAGAGAAATTGCTGAGAATATCGGTGCATCGGTTGTCTCCTGCCATGCAATTTTTTTGAAAATTTTGGGCATAAAGCGTATGACAGCGAAGTTTATCCCAAAATGTTGACCAGAAAAACCGTCGCATGAGCATCACTCAGAAATTGTTGAATGACGTCAAAGGCGATCCAGATTCGCTAGAAAGCATCATATCTAGTGACAGATTATGGTTATGGCATCGAGGTCCAATCGTCAAAAAAGCACTCCAAGTTCGATCAAATGTCAAGGTTTAGTATATCAGGAGTTCTTGCCACATGGTCGGACGCTCAATAAGCATTATTTTGAAGGTCAACAAGGAGTATTATTACGGAAAAAACGTCCGGTATTGTGGAAGAACAATACATGACTTTTGCATTACGATAATGCACTTGCTCAATCGTTATTGTTCGTTCCGTAATTTTTTGAAGAAAACAACACCGCAATCATGCCTCAGCCACCGTATTCACTAAATTTTACCCTCTGTGACTTTTTCCTGTTCCCAAAATTGAAGAGACCCATTGACACAATAGAAATTGATGGAAATAGAATCTTTTGAACACTGTTAATACTCTGACAAAAATGACTTCGCAAATAACGAGAGTTTCAAAATCATCGATATATAAATACAAGAATGAGAGAAAAAAAATATTGTAACCATCTTTAGGAAGAAAATCTTTGCCTGTTGATGAAAACTACAAACTTGCAAATAGAAGAACAGTAAATTGATGGATGTAGCCGTTACTACGTGGTAGGAAATCATAATGAAGGAAAGAGAAATGAAACTTTCTATGTTTTTTACCACTTTCATTTGTAACTAACTTTACTGAAGTTTCGTCCTATACGGACATTTTGTGCAAATTTTAGACTTCATTGGAAGAAGACTATGGAAGAAAAATTCATCTCGAATAACTACTTTCAAATAAATAAACAATGACTCCTTAAAATTCATGTTCATATATTTGTTTCGAATAGAATTTTTTTTAGTATTCTTTAATGTACCTATTTCATTATTTCATTCTCTGCTTGAGTTTTCCACTTTCTTTTTTTGTTCGTTGAATTCAAAAGCTTTTTTCTATTCAGTGAAGAACTCGACGATCACTGTCACAGATTGTATTTTCATTAGGTTTGTTCTGGTCTGCTACACGTTTTCACTTCATAGAAGGGAAGTTTCACTTTATAATATTTTACCATCTATTATTTATTAATAGTACTTGAAAGATTTCTATTCCGTAACGTAATATGCATTTTATGAAAATCTGATTATCTATCTGAGATATCGAATCTGATATATACTTCCTAATGAGTTTATTATTAATTACTCGTAGTAAGTAAGTAACTTAGTTTGATGTAATTAGAGAATGATTTGCAATTGATTATAGATCACTGCACTCTGATATCCACGGATAATTTGCTAAGTAAATTATATATTCAGCATAAGATCAAATCACTACCAAATTCGAAATCTTTCACCGTAACATCTTAGAATGATGTATTTATAACATGAAAGAAAAATGTTTGGAGAGACGAATGCTTCCAGATTTCATTTCGAAATATCAATTTTCTCATACGTATGTATTTCTACAGCCTTTTTTCAAATTCTGCACGAACATTGGCAAATTTTGTTCTAGTAATGGCGCAACATGCTTGCATAATTCTTTCTCGCAATTCCCCAAGTGACGCAGGTTAAGTTTTATGAACAACTGACTTGAGGTGACCCCACAAGAAAAAGTCAGGTGGCGCCAAGTCTGGTGATCTCGGTGGCCACTCAATGGGACCTCTCCTTCCAATTAATTTGTTCGGATAATTAGTATCCAACTAGTGCCTAACTGGAGCTGCATAGTGAGGATGTGCTCCACCTTGTTGAAAGAGCAGCAAATCTTCGTCTACAGCTAGCAGGTTGCCTTGATCGTCCCTTTGGTTCTGTAATTCATGCACAATTAAAGGTTTTCCAGCATATCGAGACAAATGTCGCCACTTTAATTGCCTGGTGAACAAGGGACCAATTATAGTATCGCCTGATATTCCTGCCCAAACATTCAGTTTTTCAGGATATTGAGTGTGGCCTCCTCTGAATCGATGCGGGTTCGCTTCACTCCAGTACCGACAGTTTTGTTTATTTACATTACCATTCAGCATAAAAGTACATTCATCACTGAAACAAATATTTTTCAATATTCTCGGTTCAACGCGAATTATTTCAGTCATGAGTTCACAAAACTCAATTCGTCGATCTGGATCATCATCGCCTACTTCTTGAAGAATTTGTGTTTTGTACGGGTGAAAGTTATGTAATTTCAACACCTTCCTAACCGACTCATGTGAAAGTCCTGTCACTACAGATACTTGACGTGTTGATGCAGTAGGCTTCATTGCAAAATTTCCAAGGACCTCAATTTAGGTTGCTTCATTCAGTAATCTTGGGGCATTCCTTTTTTTATTTTGCACTGATCCCGTTTCTCTAAACTTTTCAACTAAATCGCGGACGTACACGTGACTTACATTTTTGTCCGGATGCCTTTCATGAAATATTTGAGCTGTTTTTAAATAACACTGGTTCTGGGAGGCAAATATGAAAATTATCTCCACGCGCTCAGGTATACTGTAAACCATCGTGAAAACTACAGCTGAATGACAGTACAGATCGTACAAATGATGAAC